CACTCAGGTTCTGAAGAAAGAGATGTTCACTTCAGATGCCAGGAGAGGTAAACAGTATCATCTTTCTTTTTTCTTTTTTTTTAATTTTTAAAAAAGAAACAGTGTTTAACATGAAATACTTGCAGCTTTCATTGAAAAGGCAGAAGTTAACAGATGTGGAACTTAGTGATTACCATTTTCTTACATAATTGTTGACCTTGTACACAACATGCAATACTTACGTGTTTGGCTTACACTGTATGACAAGCTTATAAAATTGGAAAATTATTTTGGGAAAAGACAATGGAGAAATACAAGTTTTTATTCTGTAAATTGCTCAGAGTAATCAGCTAGAAAAGATAACTTGGCTGCCTTTTCTGTTCCTCTGCTTCAGCAGCATTGTTTCCTTAAGCAGCTGAAAAACTTCAGTTTATCTTCTCCCCAAACATAACACCACTCAAGCTACCAGGAATCCCAGGCTATTGAGAGTGGAATGGTTTGGCGACACAAAGAGAAGTGCTGGTGACTAAAACCACATCCACAGCCCTGTGTCCCGGGAGTGAAGAATACCTCACCTCTATAGCTACCCCAGCACAGCACAGATTGTAACAACAGAACCATCTATTGTCCTTTTTCCTCTGGACAAAAGGAAAATCAGAAGTTACCATAAAGTTAGTCAGTCTCTGGATTTTATGATCTTTGATCTGTCTTTTCCTGGATTATGTTGGTTATCTATTTGCTGCACAGTGGGTGCCACAATTTTAATGGTAATGTTTCTCCTGCCTGAAGCAAAGAGGGGGATGAGTCCCAAGAGTGGATTGTTTAATTCCAGAGCAGCCAGCTACACTCAGAAAAATCATGTTTGAGCACACTCCAAATGCTCATCCAAGATTTCCCTGTCTTACTCCTTCCCCAAACTGCTGCTGGCACGAGATGCTTCTGTCCAGAGAAAGAAAGGAGGAAATAAATTTTTAAAAAGACTATTAGACTCAAACTCATGCTAAACTTGTGTCTCTAGACTAGTATTCATCCCAAACTGTCATATGCTCTGTAGCAGTAACTGATGTGACTAGCACATCACATGCTTTGTTCCCCACCCTGGCTTGGGGGGAGAAGCCTGTGCATGGACATTCTGTATTAATTCTGCTTTTTCCTTTAATAATTCATGCATGGGTCAACACATTTAGCTAGAAGGAGCCAGGCCACAGCCAAGTACTTGGTGCTGGAAGACACACTTTTGGGTCAGTTCTTGAGAAAGTTCTGTTGCAAGAATCTCCATCTGGTTTAACTTTTCAAAATTCACCCCCATACCAAGTTTTATAATATAAAAAAAAAAAAAAAAGAAAAAAAAAAGAAAGGAAATTTCTACTCCCACTCTCCGACTAGCTTATGTTTTCTCCTTTTGCTTCTGGTATAGACTTGTCTGAACTCCTCAGCTATTTGGAAAACATGGGACTGGAAAAAAATCACCCAAGGAGAAGGACTATCTACAACTGCCTCTCCTCCCCCCTCATCTTCTGCATGTACCTACCCTCAAGGTTCAATGGTCGTGATAAGGAAAATGAAACACCTTAGGTAATGATAAAACACCCAGTGTAAGACAGTGTCAAGTATTTACTCACTGGCAGTGCAGCATTACAGTGGAGAGCCTGCCAAAGAGGGATCAGTGCCTTCCTTACACCCTCAGGATTCATTGTCTCTTAGCCTGGGAACCTGTCTCCATTCTCAAACAGGGATATTTTTTTTGGCACAAAGACAGAACAAAAGGCACAAAGAGAACTAAGAAAACCCTTTCAGTGAAGCTGTAGTCTTTTCTTTTTCCTGTTCCCCTGAGGACTGGAAACCTTCTGAGGACAGCTCATAATACTCCCAATCCCGCTATCTGCCTGGAAGGTGCTCAGTGATCACAGGGACCTACAGGAATTAGGGTCCATGCAGATTCCAGCCCAGCTTTCAGCCTTGACAGATAGATCCCCTACCTTTAGTACCAAAAATATCACAGCATTTTGAAAATGAAATCACTGTTTTATTTGAGTGGGTGTGTTATTTCGAGACAGCACTAATGTGATTATAAAATCAGTTGTGTCAGCTTATTGGCTCAGCTACAGACACTGATCTGCTCAAGCGTCTGTTCCTCTACCCGGCTGCTCGCGTTAGGGTACTTTGTCCCCCCTCAGCTCCCCATGGAAGTAGACACCATTTGATTCCCACTGCTGCACCAAAGAGAAAGAAACCTCTTCAGGCAGTTGCCCACCTTGTCTCTGTGAAACTAGGCATTTCCAGAGCACCTCTTGTGCCAAACATGAGCACAGCATCCCCCAGCCCATTAAAGGCTACAACCTATACATATATATAGAGGAATATATAGCCAAGTGACAGCAGACAAGGGAGAAGGTCAAGTGGCAGCAGGGTCCAAAGCTCCCAGCCTCACTTTTCAGACTTTTCACTTGAGCTCCTTCTAAATGTTTCCTCTCACCTATTCCCGAATGCTGAGGGTAAGTGTTTGTTTTTCCCTGCTGCTCTGTGGGTGTCTGACAGACTCGGTGGCTGGTGCTGCCAGGCACGGTTTAATGCTGTCAATGGCAGGTGACTCACTGGTATCACAAGTGTCAGTCCTGGCAGGTTTGACTCAGCCCTTCATCTTTTGGCAACAAATTGAAATAAAATACAGTTTCCATTGTATGAGGCAGCTTTTCAGACAGAGCCATACCAGAGTAGCTTTACATGCTTTATATGTAGAGCATCTGTAAAGATTCTATACTCTGCACGCTCCACTGACTTTCTGGTTTTTCACATTTCTATACACTGGATCTGTGGATCTGTTGCCTCTGTGCAACATGAAGAAAGTTGAGGTTCATTGCCACCACAGTCATCCTAAGGCCAGATAAATGCCATGTTCCCCTTACTGAAGATGGTGGCTCTGAAATCCTGCAATTAAAAACCTGACAAAGAACAGCTTTGCTGTAAAATATTTCCATTACTATTGAAAAGAAAAAGCATCTGAGTAAGCTATTACCTACCCATCTTTCCCTCAAAGTATGCAATGCCCTCAGGCCAAATTCCAAACTTTCCATATGTAAACTGCATCCAGCTGTGTGTGCTGCACAGAGTATATAAACATGAGGTTTGAATCCCACACGAGCTGTGTTTGACCACAGCACTGACTTTACAAGCTACAAGAACTTGACAGGCACTTTATGCAAAGGTCAAGATGTTTGTTATGGAGATGAGTATCTCCTGATTTCAGCAGAGTGAGAACGTTTAATTTCTCATCATTATTGTTGAACCTTCCTCACAAACCCAACCAAAAATCAATTAAGAAGTTGGTTATCTTCAGCCTAAAAACCTAAACAATGTATCCCAAACTGTTTTAGTATTAGGTTTGCCAATAAATTGGGCAATTAAAGTGGTAGTGGTGGTGAAAACAAGCGTGCTCATCCTGTCTTAGCATGTTTAGAAGAGCCTGAGCTCTGCTGTGGATCCTGGGGGCAGAGCCTGTGACTGGACACAGAAAACCAAAAAATGAGGTTCTTCTGCTTTGCTGTTCTGAATACTTTGTCTGCCCTCTACCAATGAAAGAATGTGTGCTACTCTTGAAATTTAAGAGGTTTTGTCCTTTTAGTCTCTCTTCATAATCAGAATTATAATTATTATTTTTAAAAACGGACAAATATTTTAAAAATTTAAACTCATGAATTGCCTGGATTCACAAATCACTCAGATTATGTTTTAAAGTATTTTTTGGTCTTCTAAATCTCGTGTCCAGCCAAACAAGAGGTTAATGCTCTCTCTCTAAACAGACACAAAGACTCTTCAGTGCCAAATCTCAGCTACGGCTTACACCAAATATTCACCAGTAGCTGCCTTCCTGCTTTTTCCCAGGGGGGGTTTCAGTCAAGAACGCAGCTTTCTGTTCGTGACAACTGGTTGGATATGCGGGATGGAAGCAAAGGAACTGAGTCCTGACATTAAATATGGTTCACACACACAGTGATTTGGTGTGGTCAGTGCAGATGCAGAGATAACCAAGCTAGCCTGCACAAATCCCTTAGGCTGGGAAAAACCTTTAAGATCAAGTCCAACCACAAATCTGTTCATTGTTTTAGTTTAAACAAACGTGTAAGAAGAGGTCCTTAAGACACATTTAAGCACATTAAAACCATTTTCTCCATGCACATATATCAGACTCAAACCCACTCAACCTAAGCCCGTGGTGCCAACAGGAATTTCCACAGACCTGCTGGGGGTTCTCAATCAGCTGAGAGACATCTCTGTCCCTCTGAGATCATTGTTCAAGCTGCCTTACAATCAGTAGAGAAAACCAGATACTCCTAGGGCACAATTAATTTTATCCAAACTTCATTGCCTCCCTTCTGACTGTCATGGAGTCTAGACAGGAATTTCAGATGGAGACACTGAAAGGTACACGAGAAGAAACCCACACCAGTATCCAGGAGGATGCATACAGCCCTTCTCTCCCTGCTTCCAGATCCATGGGCTGAGGGAGGCACCCAATAAGTGAATTAACAGCTACCAAAACAGGGACAAGCAGAAATTCATTGTACATCCCTTTAGGACACATTCCTGGGTGCCACAGTGGTGCCTGGGCCGTGCTAATCTCAGACTTGGCCCCTGGTCATGGCAATCACACCATGGCTGTGCTGAGAGCCCTCCCTGGGCAGATGGGGATGATCCCCAGGCATGTTGCTGAATGCACCTACAATCCCCCCCTAAAAAACTAACCTGACAGCAGCAACCCCCAAACCTCAGCACTGGAATATAGTGGAAAGGGAAACTTCAATATGATTGTCATGGTAAATGAAAAGAACAGAAAAAAAGAAAAATTAAGATGTAATTTGGCAGGTTTCCATGTCAGTTTTCCCATTTCCCTCCCTCACTTTCTACAGGAGCAATCTGTCCTTTCCCTAAACGCTGAGCAATCCCAGCACTAAACTAATCAATATTAATAGCGATGGGTTCGGGAGGGGGGAGGAGGGGAGAGGAGGGATTACCCTGACCTTTTTCAACTCACACTGCCTCAGACGGCCACCAAGCAGCTGAAGAGAGAGCAGCCAGACGGTAATGCCATGTGGTTTTAGTAGCTTTTCATTTTTTAACATTTTTTTCCTTGTGAATATTTACTGTTGTCTCAGTGCAGATAGCAATGAAATCTGATTTTCTGCAGGAAGGAAAAATTATAATTACATCAGCCATCTCCGGGCCAAGCCTTGCCTTGATGGGAAACTCCACTGAAATAAAGGGAATAACACCCAGGCTGGATTTTAACTTGTATTTCTTAATAGAAGGATGAATTGCATTAGGGAAGTTTTGACAGGTGAAATACTAGTGTGCTTTGTGGATTTCTCTTTATTATAACAGAGTATAATCAAAGCCATTGAGCTGTGACTGGGATATGGAGCAAGAGCAAACAAAGAGCTGGGGGAACCAGTCCTCTATTGTTATGCTTAAGTGTCCACAGCAGCTCAGGGGATGGATGTACTCAGTACAAGGGGCTCAGAATGAAAGACAAATCCTATTAATTAAAAGAAAATCATAATTGAAGCTCTTTGTTCCTATTGGATTTGGGGTTTATTGTAGATATTCCAGTTAGCAGCATTTCTTAAAATACAGGTTAATGTCGGGGGCGCCGTGGATTACTGGCAATTAATCATTGTCTCTTTGTTACTGATTATTCTTGTTGCCATGTGCGAAATATGATTTTTAAAAATTTCATCTGAGAAAGCTAGAGAAAATTCTATTTATGCATTTCCTCTTTTGCTCTGAAAGAGCCAAGCCTCAGGGAAAGGTCCCAGATTGAGTGTTAGGTTTGTGGGGGTTTTTGAATAAACATTTTTATGGTATTTTTGTATTTTTTCTCTTGAGGAGAAAATGCTTTGCAGATGGCTGATATCACAGCACTAGCTAATGAAGCCATGGGTGTGTTTTCCCTTTCTTTGTCAGGACCCATCATGTCCGACAAACCAGATTTTGCAGAAATTGAAACATTTGACAAGACCAAGCTGAAGAAGACAGAAACCAGAGAGAAAAATCCACTGCCCACTAAAGAAAGTAAGTGCTTATGAGGCTATTTGAAGTACGAGAGCAAGGACATAATCCGTATTGCAGTTCATATGCAAAATGAATACTAATCACAGGATTATAGGCTCAAACTCATCCCTGACTTTAAGTGGGGATAATACTAAGACTCTATGCTAGGCTTCCAAGGATATCAGTAATTATAACCAAGGGTGCATTTTGTCTGAAAAACCCTTTCTGATGGGATTGTTCCTGCTTCTGCTAAAAGCAAGACCAGTGTTCCCACTGGGTGCTGGTAACAGGATCAATCTGTTTGTAATTACCTTGTTACCAGCCCCTCTGGAGGCACAGGGGAACCTTTGCCCATCTCTGGCAGGCCAGGCAGCATCCCCAGAGTGCCCAGGCTCTGGCTTTAATGTTATCAGGCAGATGAGCTGCTGCCTCCCACTGGTACCTACTGTCAGCCCTGGGCTGGAGACCTCCAGGCACCTTCTCTGGAATAAGGCTGCAAGCAAACCCATCTTCATCCTCATCTAACAGGCAGTCTCCCTCAGAAAAACACCTCTGAGCTTTTCTTGTGCAGGGAAAATACACACTGTGCACGGAGAGCTGTATAAAGCTGGGATTCATGTTCAGCTTCAGATATGAGAGGAGCATTTGGAGAAGATTTTGTGAGCAGTTTCTTTCAGAAGAATACTGCTAATCACTGTGGATGCGTGTGCTGATAGCCATGCACACACACAGTCCCTCAATGTTAGATACCTGTTTTTTTCCCATTTTATTACCCTTGCTAATGCTAAGTCTGTAAATACAAGAGGAGCTTTGCACACCATGAACTGCTCCCCTTTAGCTATGCAGATATGGGAATGAGTTGTCATTTTCAGGATGATCAAAACAACCAATTATGGATTTAACCATTCTCTGGCTTTAAGTATGACCACAGAAATTGGTGTCCTGCAGAACTACTATCACTGAATCACAGAATAGTTTGAGTTAAAAAGGATTTTAATGATCATCTTGTTTCAACCCCATGCCATGGGCAAGGACACCTCCCACTAGACCAGGTTGCTTCAAACCCCACCCAACCTGTGCTTGAACATTCCCAGGAATGGGGCAGCCATAGCTTCTCTGGGAAACCTGTGCCAGGGCCTCACGGGGAAGAATTTCTTTCTCACATCTAATCTAATCGTGCCCTCTATCAGTGTCAAGCCATTCCCTATTTTTCTGTCACTCCAGGCCCTTGTCCAAAGTCCCCCTCCAGCTCCTTTGTAGCTCCTTTCAGTGCTAGAAGGGGTTCTAAAGGCTCCCCAGAGCCTTCTCTTCCTCAGGCTGTGCACCCCCAAAACTCCCTCAGCCTGTCTCCATAGGAAGGCAAAGTTTATTGTTCATAAACAGTAATGCTTACTGATGGTGTTTTTGTTTCCTGTTTTTCTGCCAGCTATCGAACAGGAAAAGCAAAGTGAAAGTACAGCCTGAGTATAAAACTGAAGATGTGACTGCTGCTTCTTCAGTGGGGTTTTGGCTTCTGAGTTGGGTTGTTGTTTTATTTTGTCCTTCCCACCCCATATTTGTTGCTCATTTATTTTAGGAAACATTTGTTCATTTAATGTTCCCTGGAGAAGTTTGTTTTGTGTTTGTTGAAGAAGATACTATGTATTTGTATTCTTAAAATTATAATTCCAAGGTGTGTATCAACCCCATTACTTGGCAAAAAAAAAAGGCAATTTGCATAGAAATTGTTTTCCTAAACCTCACAATAAACAGGTTTCTTCTGACCAACCATCTTTGAGTCTTGCAGAAATCGAGTTTACACTGCAACTCTTACTAACATCCTTCCCCCTTTGTTTGCATTTCCACAGCAGCTCAGAGGTTTGGGCAGGTTGGGAAGGGTTACCCCAGGCACTCACAGGTCCCTTGGCTGGAACACAGCCACTCTCCATCATCTCTATCCTGCAGAATCCCAGAGCCCCAGATGGCACCAACCCACAGGAACCCTCCTGACTGGTTTCACAGCAGCCTGGAGACTTCACTCCCATCCCTTATGTCACTCAAGAGTGTTTAATGGGAACCCCGAGTGACAAACTGTGGGTACCAGGAGCTCTGCACTTTGAAAGCCCCAGCCTGGCAGCAGGCACGAGTGGGAGGGAAAGCCACTGCCCTGCTTCAGTCTTGTCCAGCAGTAGGTTAGAGGTTCCAGAGACAACTACCCACTTACAAATTCCATACCAAATTGATAGTTGGGCTGAGGACATACTCAAATTAACATTCCTGATGAAGAAAAGGCTGCAGCACTCTCTCTCCACAGCTTTTTTATCTAACTTGCATAGATCCAGTCAACCTTGGGATAACTGCAACACAAACACAGCCTTTAGCCTTTCTCATACCAAGCAATACAAGAACAAAGGAAAGTGGAAGGAAGAAGGAAAATTAAGTACTGCATTGATTTTTAGGGATGAGAGAAAGACCTTTAGCAGCACAGGGGTGTAAGACACAAACCTTCAAAGCAAGAAAGGCCTCCCTACATCTTCATTACTGGTGGAGCAATAACATCCTCACTGGTCTGCAGAGGACTTGGCAAAAATGGACTCTGGTACCAGCTCAGGGGACTCTCAATTCCATGGTATCATATTATCTCTGGAATTAATTTTCAATAATATTAGAAAAACAAGTGCTTACTCTGGGCAGATAAACTGCTGTTCCTGGAGCTTCAGTTTGATTCTACTTGTGCTGTGAAGTGAAAGTAGCTTTGTGTACTTCAGCAGAGTTAGTCTGGGCTTGTACCTGAATAAAGTGAGGCAGAACACAGCCTACAGGCTTCAGAAAACAGAAGGGAATGGAAAGCTCTTGTTCACTTAAGGGCTATTTGACATTGAATGTGAATAGTCAGAACTGCAATTAAAAGTAGAAGTGGGTCCACAAGACTATGACCTTTGCTGACAACAGAAAGTAACCAGAGGTGAGCAGGAGACCAAAGGAAAACACAGGGCAAGAGGACCAATGATTTCTGTCAGAGCTTTGTTACAGTGGTGGTGTCCAAAGGGCTGAGACTGCTGTTTCAATCCACATTCAGCAGTTCAACACTGCTGACGTTTTCTTTTCATGACCAAGAGTTTTTTTCACTTTCTCATTTGAGGACTCCTTGGCACCTGACTCAAAGGCATGTTTATTTTAAGATCAGCTGGATTTATTAATACTGATTTTTATATAAAAGGTAAGGAATGAGCTGAGGTATATAAAGGCTAAAGAATGAGGCTGAGCAACAAAGAAAACAGTGCTCTTTTCTTTGTGACTCATGCCCTCCCCTCACCCCTGCACACTTTGGGGTCAAGGAGCTTCTGACATTATTGAACTATTCCCTTTGATGATGGTTCCTTCGTGGAGGAAGCATTTAGAGATGGTACTCAGAGCAACACCACCCATGGAAATCTGTAGAGTTCCTACTGTTCAACCAGATTCATTCACCCCGTTACTTTCCCCAGGATGGTTTTTAAGCTCTGTCCTGCACTCAGCAGTAAGGCCACAGATGAAACTTTCTCCTCGGTTTTGTCCCACACGATGATCTCCCTTCATCTCTGCCAGTTCAGAGTATCTGCCAACTCACTCAACAAATACACTGCAAATCACCAAAAACTTCTTTGGCATCACTGAAACAGGGGCTGGTCTCTCTGCCCACAAGTTCTCCCAAAAATCAAAAGGTCTGGGCTGTGTCCTCAGCCTGCACTTTTTGGGCAGAACAGAAGAGAGGTCAGTCCAAAGCAAGAAAACAACAGAGATATTCTCTTCTTGCATTTGCAACATACAAAGGATTGGCAGCACAGCTCAGGTTTGCCCAAACACTTGGCTCAGGGCTGTTCCTGGTGCTGCTGCAGGGCTCAGCCTCCCCCCACAAAGCCTGCTCCTAATTTAGCTGTTTGAATTTAAAGCCTGAAACGGTAAACCAAACATCTCAGTGCTTTTATCCACACATCTCACCTCGCTAAATAGGCTGAGAAGAACTTTAGTCACATTCCCCACCCCTAGATCTGACTACAAAAGCTACAAACACCTGCACACCTGGAAAAACTCCTCAAGGTTAAAGGCCAGATCTTCCCGGCTTTCCCCCACCCGCCCCAGGTGGAGCACGGCTTTATGGCAGGGCTTGGGGAGTTCTTTCACAATTACCTGTTCACAGAGGTTCAAAGTGAAAAACACATTGCTGCACTACTCTGATTTGAGGAACATCACTCTCTGCTGCTGGGGGAGACCATTTCAACCTAGGAACTGCACCAGGAGATTAAAGTTTGTCAAATGCAGGGACAGGTTTGGCTCCCTGTTATCTTAACCAAAGAGCATTACAGCCCTTATCTGTGGGGCAAGTTGAGGACACCAACCAGGAAACTGCTCATTACTTCAGGCTGAGAAAGGGAATTTTCATCCTTCCAGGCATTACACAAGGAAATAATTGCTGCTGCCATTGAGAAGGAGCTATGAGCAAAGCCAAGCCAAGCTAAACCAAAGCAAACACCTTACTCACACCTAGGAAACACCTTCTGGGTGTTAACCTGACCTTTACTCCCTGGAAGAGCATCCTCCAGCTTCAAGGATCCCCAACAGCAACTCCAGGAGCTGAGGCCCTTTCCCAGCCTCCATGGTGATGAGCAGCTGAGCTTAGAGACAAGCTCATCAGTAAACAGAACCAGCTCCAGGTGGGAAACTTAAATATTTCTGCCAATTAGCAGCAGCCCCTTGCTGTTATGTAAAGGTACATAAACGAGGTGTTACCTTGTAGCTCCTCCAAGGGGAAAATGCCTTCCATGCTAATGCAGTTATAGCCAAAAAAAAAAAAAAATCATTATATGCAGATAAACACCACTTTCTTAGCATCACCATGAAGTTAGTTTTGCCCCCTGGATCCCAGGGATAGGGCCAGCCCTCTGGGGATCTTGGCCAAGTCCACCTGCCGCTGTGAGTCACCTTGAATTGTTGTGCACAGTTACAGCAAACCCTGGCTGGGTAAAGGAGATGTGCAGTTCTGTCGTAGCCCCAAGCCTTGCTTTCCTAGGCCAAGGATATGTGTGTTCCACCTCAGCTGGGGACCAGCCAAAAGGTCCTGGAGGTCCTGCCAGCCCCAGCTCAGATACCATGGCTGAGCCTCAAAGCACATTTGGGGTTTTTTCAAATATTTTTCGGTATTCTCTCTTATTTGGGTCATTAGCCCAATGACTGCTGAGACATGCCACAGCTCTACAGTAACGAGGGCAATGTGTTTTGGCCGGTGGTTTAACCACCACAACAAAAGGTGGGATGTTTTTGCAAGGCCAAGGCTGGAGAAGTCTTTGGAAAACACCTTTGTGTGTTTGTTCTGCCATAAGGGCTGGTCCTGATGCAGCAGATCCTGCTAAGGGAGGATCAGGGAAGGAAACAGGGGAGAGATGTGAGCAAATGAAGATCTGTAAAAGCCCTGCAGGATCGGGAGTCTGAACTGCACCGCGTGGGAAGGAGGTCAGGGGCTGGGAGTGCAGCCAGGGAGGTGCTCACGGCAGCAGAAACTCAAGGCAGAAGAAGCCAGGGTGGTTCTCATGCCTTTGCCTGGCTCACGCCTTGTTTTTCCAAAAACACGGGGTGAAAACAATAGTCTTTTGAATAGCACTAACCTTCTGGTGCCAGGCTGGGGGAGCCTCCCACACTGTGCACGGGCAAACAAAGCCACTGTGTCCTCCTGGAGCCCTGGCACGGGCAGCCAGCCCTGGCCTCTCCACCTGTTCCCACCCAGCGTGTCCATGAGTCCCCGGGAGCTCTGGCTGTCCCAGCCCGGGCACCGAGGTGTGTCCTGGCAGCATAGCCCGCTCAGGCTGGAACGTGAAAGGCTCCCGGGGCCGGCTGGGGCTGAGCCAGGCTGTGTGGGAGCAGGTGTGTGCTGTGCGGGGGTGTTTCTCCAGCTCCAGCCCAACGCCGCTCAAACTGACAGCAGGGTAAGCTCTGCTTCCAGCTCCTGCGCCGGGAGAGGCGGCTCCGTGTGCTCGCTGTCTTGTCAGGAGAGCTGCCTTGGGAAGGAACAGTTGCTGGTGATGGTTTGTGCATATTTTGTAAGCTGTGCTGACAACAGCTCTTGACAACTCCTACCATCAACTGCAAATCTCTCAATTCTTCGTGTTTGCTTCAAGGCCCGGGTCCAGAATTCATTCAATCCGTGGGGAATCAGGAAGAAAAGATGAGGAGGGGGGAGCAAAAGAGGGGGTTCTAGCTGCTCTGGTCAAAGGGACATGTGAAAATGAGGTCTCTTAAGGCTCCAACAATAGGGACTGAACAAAAAGAAGTAGAATTTTCAAAATAAAATTTAAAAAAATCAGGAATTTTAAGCTGGTCTCGTGAATTCAGAAGCCAACTCGGTATCAAAATTTTTGATTTGGTGAAGTTGCAACAACAAGGGAGGAAAAAGTTGTGTGTGACTCCAAGTGGGTGTTTTCAAACAGCATCTTGTTTGGGGAACATAATCCCTCTTGGTCTGCTTTATTTTCTCCTGATGCTGGAAATAATTCTTCTCAGAGAGAAGAACTGGGGTTTTATTTTTCTATCTAGTCACAGGAGCTACCTCAGGTCATGCCTGACCACAGCTGGTCCCCCCCATCCTTGCTAGCACCGGGAGGAGTCACCACCACAAAGTGTTAAAGAAACACGTGTGCAGGTCCAAAAACACACATTTCATTTAGCAATGAAGAAATCAGGCATGAGGATCTTTGGCTGAAGGCGTGTGCTTTTGGGGCTGAGCCCAAGGGCAGGGATGGAGGCAGCAGGGATGCCCTGGGGCAGCAGCATCGCTCCCACTGCCAGGACCCTTCTCTAAGTGGAGCAGGAGTAGCAACAGCTTATAGTATTGCAATAGCACCATAAAAATCATAATGGCTTTATAATAGCTCCAGCCTCTTCAGTGCTCTTCCAGATT